TCGATTCTACATAGTTCGCCCTTGCCCCTCTCGCTCGCCCCGGCCCGTAAATTTTACGTAATAATATAGCTCTCGGCGCCGGCGTCGATTTTCAACTTGTGCACGCGCAATTGCAAATCTTCGAGATTTCCATTTCAACTGTATGCTTTTGCGCGCGGCGCCGTTTGATGATAATTCCAACTAATTGGGAGTTTTTGGGGTGATTGAAGGTATATGGATACCGTGTTGCGATAGCGTCGAAATATTGCGCGGATGAGCAATAATGACGATGAAAACTCGTTCCGTCGACGGTGCGAGTGCACACCTGTACCGAAAGTCATCCATACGCAGCCTTATAATTGCAATAGATGTTCAATTAAATTCGGGTATAGCTTCAGTTTTCATTGGTTTCGGCGTTTATCGATATTGCGACGCGTATCAGGTGTGCGCACGTCACGTAAATCATCTAATTTTATCGACACGTGTTTTTATTTTTTAATTTGTATCATGAATATATGGTGTGCAACTCAATGGACATCAGTGCAAATTAATTGTAACATTGGACATTTGTGCAAATAAAATGACGACTCGATGATAGAAAATAAAAATGAAAAAAAATACTAAGCGTATCAAATCCGTCAAAAGATTGTCACGTGGCTCGATTAGGGGACCTGTTTTTCTTCAAAATAGACCCCTTGGACCCCCCTGCCAAAAAAAGAAGGAAGCAAAAAAATAAAAACAAACACGCGCCTTGCTTCGTGACAAATTTTACAGCTATATACATCCATCAATCGGACCATCAGCGGCGTTTCAACCCTATAGGCCTTTCAACACACGCACATATTACCCGGTCGGGCCATTAATTGTCGTCGACGCGAGATACCCTATCCCCCCAATTTTTTTTTTTTTTTTTTTTCCGTTCTCCCTCTCTGTCCCTCCGTATGTCTATGCAGATATATATACACGTTTGCACGCACGCTTAGCTTCTCTCGCCCATCCGGCATCACTGCAGCGATCGATATTTCCACGCGCCCAGAGTCCTCGGGTGTGCTCTCTCTTCCCCCCGTGAGCCGCGGTGCAAAAGAGTCCCCCTTCCTCGTCGCGTTTTAATTCATCAAATTGAAAAGCAACGCCAGCCACCGACTCTTTTGTTCGAATTCGTTCGCACCGATCGATATTGCCGTACGCCGTGTGTATAATACATGTACGTGGGTACGGGGGCAGAAGAACGCCGAGTCGCGTGCGCATGTCGTGTGCGCGAAAAAAAGCTGATGGGGAAGATGAGAGAAGAGGAGCGCATGAGAGATTCCGCAAAAAAAAAAAAAAATGTATTATTTTTGCTTACACGGGAGTCCCTTTGATACATGGGGGAGTTTCTTATCCTCCACGGGTGCTCAGACTTGGGCACGGATACTTTCATTTTTTTGCTAAAGGTTTAATGCGTTGTTTGTACGTATATGCTAAAGACATTAAGATGATTAAAAACAAGTATTTTTAGCAGTTATTTTTTCGACATCCTGGATGGTTTCTAAAGTTTGCGAACTTTTTTTTTTTTTTTTTTGTTTGGAGTAATTCAAAACTTGGATAAAAATTATGGTCACCTAAAACCATTTCGTTCCCAAGGGTGAGGGTTAAATTCAGTGAACATAAAACGTTGAAATCTTTGTCCTAAAAGCGAGCCTAGAAGTTTGTTGATGATAACTTTTTTTTTTTGAAGACTGCCTCGTATGCAAGCGTATGTGCGTGACCCAAAGTTTTCAGCCGCCCTTGTTGAGCGAGCGACTCCAGTGTGCGCCAATTTTTTTTTCATTTTGCTCGATGAAGTACCCGTTGTCGGGATGATGGTTATTGGTGTAGCAACGTGGAGCTGTAATTTTTGGGTTTCTGCGTATTTTTTCGTGTTCAGAAAAATAATTTCCCTTTATTTTTTAACAACAGTCAATACGGTCGATGTACATCTGCAGAACAAACGAAAAATTATTAATATAATGTATCGTTTGAATTTGAGAATAAGGACAATCATTTTGTTTATTTTTGATTTTTGTTCGAAGAATTTAATTTCGTAATTCATTGTACAGCGTTGAAACGTAAAAATTCTTAATATAAAAAAAAGCAGTAATATGCCCTTAGCGTCAATAATTTAATGGATGTACTTTTTGTTACAAAAAATATCTTTGGGGGGGGGGGGGAAGAAAAATTACAATGTATAGCTATTCCATATCATTTCCCTGGCCCTATGCACACGAATTCTTGTGCTCCTCACCGCAACAAAACAAAAGCTCGAAGAAGCGCGAAACAAGTTGACATACAAACCCACGCGAACATCCGCATTGTACTCCATCGTAGGCAAGCATCTCTCGAGGAACAGGTACCTACGAAGAAAAATTCCACTCAACCAACACAACACAACGTACGCAAACACCCTCGTGCAGCAGCCCTGCTCTGCACCACATAATTTCCCGTGAGCATCATCATCTCGAGAGATCCCGCACGTCACAACTCACCCGACACGCATATATAGGTCTCTCCTTATATGCATATATATGTATATACCTGCAGCGATTCATCACTTTTCTCCCAGCAGATGACGAGTATAGTATACGGGAGGAGAAGGCGGGAGAAAAAAGCGCCAACTCAGCTGACACACTGACACATACGCCGCTCACCCCCCGCGTTTTTTTCTTCTCCCTCCTTTCATTTTTCTTTTTTTTTTTTTTCCTCCATATAGGTGCGCTCGAGCGCAAAGCTCCCTCGGCGCCGGCTCAAGGCATTTTTCACGCCCCTCGTAGTGGGTATGTATACAAAGTACATGCACTTTGCTCCGTCGCTCGATTTTTCACATCCTCCCCCACCATCTCCTTGACATCTTTCTCATCTCCTCGTTTATCTCGCGACTTTATCTTTGCCGGAGCGCAATATAAATATATATATATACCCTCGTGTCGTCAATTTACACACGCATCGGGACTGTCCCTCTCTCTGCGTATTGATGAGGGACGTCTTTTGTTATCTGCCACGGCCCAGTATATTTTTCCCCGTTTTCCTCGTATACGAGGACTGTGTGCTCTATGGCTTTGTTTCGTTTGTGATGGACAGTTTCTTTCACTCCATTTCCATCCATTCTTTTTTTTTTTTGCTCATTGAAACTCGTGGGGAGCGGGAGGGGGGCCCCCTGTTATGTTACAGTCGATTATAGGTGAAATGTTTGTCATATGGAAGCATCGATAAGTATGGTATTTGGAGTACAACAACAATAATGATTATTTACGGCATCGTTCGTATGTTTTATGTTTAGGCGGGGGGGGGGACTTTTTTCGTTTTGTTCAATCATGAAGTAAAATTTAGTGATTCTGCAAATGTTATCGCTCAGGCTCAGTTTGATCTCTCGTATTTTTGTAACACAACCGGTTTTTAAACAGTACCGATCTCTGAGGACTTTTTGTGCGAAAATCGTGCGACTCTCAATAGAATAACAATACCTTAATTTTACGAAAACCCAAATCGTAAATTAAACTCGCGTTCAATTGATAATAATGGATTTCGATGGTCACTTTATTAATTGTTATTTAAAAATTAACAGCGTGACTATCGTATAATCGAGAAGATTAAATCGCCTTTGTCCGACCAAAAAACTCCATATTCGGAGTACCAAGAAAGACATTTTTTTATGAATCCAGTGACAATTGATATTTCATCAGAAAAACACAATTTTACTTCGATCAAATAAAATAATTGTCAGACTCACTAATGCATCAATGATAATTTCGGTGAAATACAACACTAAATGAATTTTTTTTTTTTCATTACATCTAAAAAAATTCGTCATCCACTCAATTATTATTTCACTCATCTGTATGTATGTATCCTTGCGGGCATTACAATTATAAGTTCTATGTAGATCACGTGTCTCGAAACATCAAAGTTCTATATTCGTAGAAACAAAGGATCGTTGTGTTACCACGTGTGATGGTGCGATATTTCTTCCCTCCCTTCAGTTGCAAAATCAATATTATCCCATCCCAATGAAAGACACGTTGCTATCATCTCTTTCAATTCGAAAAAAATAATTTAATTTATTGATACAATCCATACGCGGTTTATCGGATGAAAAGGGCATGCCCCCGCGCGCCCGTGCAGATGGAAATAAAAAAAGCAAACCACGTTTGTTTATTTACACCAGAGCGGATAAATGTGAGGTGTGTCGGGTGCATAAGGTGCTCTGTATAGAGCTAAGATTCGCGTTCTAAGGAAAATGGTAATCTCAGAACGAGCCATTGTATCGTGTGACCTGCCCGTCCGCGCTCGTATATCGCGCGCAGTTGCAAATGACACGGAAGACCAAGGTATACCCTGTATATACATATACATATACATATACCATATATATATATCGGTCGGAGACAAATTCAATATCTCTGATGTCGCGACGCGGCGCAATTTATTTTTTTCCGCTCCGAGAGAGAGACGATCCCTGCACCGCTCGCGCTGCGCCTTGTGTACATGAAATTCGATACCCATCACCTTTGGGCGCTCACGGCGTACAGTTCCAATAATAACGTATCGATGAACTTGAACTTATATTACTTGGACTACTGCGTCTCATATTTATTTGTTTTTTTTTTTTTTGTTTTTTTTGTTTTTTTTCCTTTTGCACAAAGTTAATACTGACTCATCGTTGCCGAACGCGCGCGTGCAAAGACTCAACAACATTAACCCCGCCACCCGATTTTTCTTTATTTGGTATTCACTATAATTATAATACATACATTGTACACCGCGTGCCTGTAACGATTAATATACATGCCCAAAAAATCTCACGGTTTAATCCCCCCAATCCTCGCCCTCCTATTTAGGGTAAACGAGACTATGGGTGGCAATTAACGTTTGAAAATAACAATTAACGAGTGATCGGATTAACCAGTGGTTGGATTTGGCAATAACAATTGTTTTTTTTCTTTTTTTTTTTTGATGAAAAATGTATCGAGCGATGGAGGTTTCATTGGTTTTGCGCGATTTTCCAGGAGGTCGAGAACGTGGCGGCGGTCGCCACCACGACAGCAGCGGCAGCATCGGCAGCGACTCCCGAGGACACCAGCGCCTCGGCCGTGAGCAGCCCGACCGAGGAGAGCAAGGAAGCGGCCAAGAAGGAGGAGAAAGAGGAGCCAAAGGCACCCGAGGAGGAAAAGAAGGAGGAGCCAGCCGTCCCCGCAGCCGCCCCGGTAGCTGCCGTGGAAGAGCCACCGGCAGCCCCCAAGGAGGACAAGGAGGAGGACGAGCAGAAAAAACCGGAGGAGGAATCGGCCGAGGCCCCGGTACTCCCCGCCGTCCCCGCAGCTGAACAGAAAGTCGAGGTCAGTCCTGGCGCAACGAGCGACCACCACCACCACCACGAGCCCATCGCGGCACCCATCACGAACAACACTACCACCACCACCACTACTATTATTACCAACAACACCACCCCCTCGTCTATCACTGAGAGGATAAAAATGAGCACTGAGGACGATAAACAGAGCCTCCCGAGTAACGATACCGATCATCTTCATCACGACGATCCTCCTCCTCCTGGCCCTCCTTCCTCCGATCCGTCCGGGACCGTGTCTACCGCCGCCGTTGTCGCCGAGCCGTGCGCGAGCGCGCCCTGCATTACCACCGCACCACCGCCCACGAGTCCCCCGCCGACGCCCATCGATCCCTCGCCCCTGCAGAAGGCCCAGCAGAGCGCCCCGAGCGCCATCGATCTCGCCGAGGCCCTCAAGCTGCCCCACCAGCTCCAGCAGGAGCACCAAGAGGAACCACAACCCCTCCAACCACAAGTAGTCGCAGCTAATCAGGAGGAGGATGAGGAGGAGGAGGAGGAGGAGGTGCCGCCGCCGTTGCCGGTCTCGCCGGCCCCGTTGCTCGAGGCCTCCAAGATAGCGAGCTTCGCGGCGACGACCATGCAAGACTCGGTGGCGGCGCTCCTCGACGCCGCCTCGTCGCCCCCGGCCTCGTCGTCCTCCCCTTCCTCGCTGTCGCCCCCACCGGCGCAGGCGGACGAGGACTATCCCGAGCAGAGGCTGGACTCGCTGGACATGCCACCTCCGCCCCCCGAGGACGCGGCCGCCGAGGACAGGAGCGAGGAGTTGCCGTTGCCCCCACCCACCGTCGACGAGGACGCCACGACTACGACGGCGCTTCCTCGGGAGCCTCATGTCGTCACGAACGGCCTGGCTTCAATTGGAGACGACCAGGTGATTACCAATAAAATGCAACAACCACGACACAATATATTACCCACCACCACCACTACAACCACAACAGACGCTCGGCCGGGAGATAAATCGATCTATAACGAACCGGTTCTCGTTGTTTTATCAAATATTAATACATACATATTTGGATATTTTTTTCCCTCTCTCTCTCTCTCTCTCTCTTTCTCTCTCGCGCGCTTTCTCCCCAAAACAATAACATTTTGTAACGAACGTTAATGACACGGTCGACTCTTGTGTTGTCTTGGCTCACCTTTGGTTTATACATACGTAATACGCGTCGAGTGTATGCAGTTTTTATTTACTTTCCATCGTGGATTTTATATTGCTTATTTGTACATTGTGTTGATAGGTACATTGAATTGTATCACGTAGGTCGTCTTGTGTTGTGTGTTTTGTATAGCTACTATATACTTGTACTTTGAACGAGAAACACGAATGACGCATTCTTTATTTTTATACACGTATATTTATTATTATTGTTATTATTATTTGTACTTTTCACTGTCGATTGTGCTTTGTATAGTACTTATGGCGCGCGAATTATCTGTACCATGATACTTTATTTTTTTTTTTTATTTGTTAGCTAATAATGCACGGATACACGGTTTTTTAATAGATGCTGCGTGACATGATGGATAAATTGATGATGTGTATTTTTTTTTTTTTTTTTTTTTTTTTTTTTTACTTCAAATACAATGATCAAAGTGATATATTTAGGATGAAAGCGACAAAGCTGGTTATTACTTTGGACCGATTGACACGAACTGATGTATAAATAATGTAACACATGTGCATTGTAAATTTACCTTGTATATTTTTTTTTGTATACATTCATCATTAACACTTTGTCTAGACTTAAGGTCATACTGTTTATTCTAATCGATAATCGTCCGGATTTTGCGTTTGCCCCAACTACAATAACATCCTTCTCGCTGTTTTTGTCTGTAACTTTTTTTTTTCTTCAAACGACTAATGCACGAATACAGAAAGCCAAAGAGTAAAGATACTGATGCTGTGTGGTCCAAGAGGCTCACACTATATTTTGGGGCTTCGCTGGAGAACATAAAAAAGAAAATAACAGATAAAGAATCTGAAGCATCATCGATGTGGATCAAACGAGAAAAAAGGACGCACGAACGCATTGTTTAAATTTGGGATTAATTCGCATTCTGGATAACCCATGATCATTTTAAAATAAAAATAACATCTGCATTGACGAACGAGGCAGGTGTGATAAACAATGGGCCTTGGTTGTGTGCATCAGTGGGAAAGCAAAAATAATAATAATACCAGTAACAACAATAACCATAACCCAACGAAAAAAAAGAAGAATTTCTCGATGGACCGATGCAATGATATCCTGTAACATAAAGAACGTGTTGTACTCGCGCTCTCTTGTCTCTGTCCTGCCTAATCCTCCTTTACTCTTTCATTTTTTTCACTACCATCAAAATAATCATGGATTAACACAAGTATAATGTAATGCCTCGACGGTCTCGACAAAGTTTCGGGTTAATCTCTGCCATACCAATCCCCATGTGTACACAGTTCCTTTCTCTGTTTTTTCTCTCACAGTTACTTGCTCACTCAACGACTCATTCATCCCCATAACGCCAAAGAACATAAATTCGTCCTGTGTTGTTTTGCCTCTTGGTTTTCTTGTCACATTCATTAACACTGCGCATCTCAGACACACATTATAATCCATAAAAGCAACTGCATCAAAATTTACATTCATGCATGACTTTCACTAGAAATTTTCATACTAATTCGACAAGTTACACGTTTCGTTGGTTGTTTGAAAAAACTTCTAGTGATCGTCCATACATCATTAATGTCACTAATACCATGTTTAGTGTTTATTCGACCTAATGCAATGATAATACCAAGAGTCTCACTGATAGACGACAACATTATTATTCCAGCATAATCACACATGTTTCAATGTACTTTGAGCATCTTGCGTACACTGCATGTTACCTTTGTCTTGATCATTCATTAACAACCCATGGATGTACACTGGAATTCATTGTTGCAGCATAAACCTCATTCTGAAAGCATGACCATTGATATGGGTGAGCTTGAACTTGCTCTGATTAAAATTGATCACCTGAGCTACTAAAGATCAAAAAAACATTTCGCGCAATGAACCGTCCAGTACTGTAATACATCCATGTCTAATTAACAATTGATGTATACAAAATGTACGTTACAACGAAGCCTGTGCTCCAACGCCCGTTTGTGTTTCAATAAACGCAGCGCGCGAGCTATAGAGCCTAGTAAATAATAACAAGGAAAAAAACAAACAAACAGCATGCGCCAAGATCATTTTTAACCCAATCGCTTGATTTCAATGAGAGAAACGAGACTCTCGATGTACTGACAAAGGATGCATTTCCAACGTTTCCAGAATGATTCCGAGCCCGAGGCCGCTCCTGTTGTTGAAAAGAGCGAGCCAGTCGTGATGGAGAATGGCTTGTCGGATGGGGCACCCAAGAGCCCACCACCAGCCGTACCCGTTGAGACGACCCAGCCTGCTCCAGCCATCACCGAAGACGTCGCCTCCGTGACCAAGGTCGGTACACACGACATCTCTCCTTAAATTTTTTTTTTTTTTTTTTTTTTTTTTTAATACCACCTACTACTTCAATGATGAATACCAAATGATTATCATTGTTCGATGAACTATGGTAATCCAGAGAGAATGCATTTTTTTCTTTTATCGAATGAAATTGTGATCTTTTGATAGAAGCTATGGGGCCATCTGATTATTTATTTATCCATTAAATCCTTAAATGAGTACAGCAGTAGTGACGTATTTTAACGTTTCTCCTTTGTTTTTTTTGTTTTGCAGGCCATCGAGGAAATTGACATCAGTGAGAAGGCCGTAGCTGCTGCAGTTCACGATTCCTTGGACAACAACGGAGTCAACGTGAGTTTCTTTCAATTATACGTGTAGCTATCATTCTTTTGATTAATGGAGAAAATATTGCGGTATTATTCAAATGAGTGTACACGCATTATTGGAAATTTATTAATTTTGTATATATATTTACTGTTTCACTTGAAATTGTTTATTAATTAGTAGGTGTAAAGTTAAACTGAAATGAATAATGAAGCCTCGTTTTTGCTTGTGTTTCAGGAGATTGTCGCTGACTTGGTCCACCAAAACAACATGCACGAGTAAGCGCCGCCAGCCGAATTGTATTTTTGGGAAGAAGAAAGTTTTTTCTCTCGTTAAAACCAAAAAAAACTATATTATATAGATATATTTGGACCATTCCTGTGCAAACAAAACCGAAAATGACGTTCTTTCGTTACGAGCAGCAAACAAAACAAGTAACAATGCGAATTATCTGTACCATGATACTTTATTTTTTTTTTTTATTTGTTAGCTAATAATGCACGGATACACGGTTTTTTAATAGATGCTGCGTGACATGATGGATAAATTGATGATGTGTATTTCTTTTTTTTTTTTTTTTTTTTTTTTTTTTTTTTTTTTTTTTTNTTTTTAATTTTTTTCAATAGGATATAGATGTACAATGTCAACTAAAATAAGCGACTACGACGCTTACTTTGAATGCAGAGCGCGACATCGCTGGAGCATAAAGACGCATATTTTTTTTTTCCTTATTAGTAAGTCTATTATTAATTAATTATTTTACATATGGCACTTGACAGCAAACGTTTAGACCGGAGAGTGTAGTTTTTCTCAGGGCTACGGTTGGTTTTATTTAAAGATTTTTAATTAGTTAGAACTGCGAGCGCCAGACAAAAAGAGAGAAATGATGATGAAATAAGTACAGATGATGGGGAAAAAAAAAAAATTAATTAATAGCAAAATACGAAAAGAAAAAAAACAGATTAATGATTAAGAATGCCAGAAGTATGACTCGAGCGACCATCGACGATCTTTTCCGGTTTTGCAAATCGCGAGTCATTGCCCGATCAATATAAAAAAAAATCTCTACTTCGCGAGGCGAGCATATACGAGCAAGAAAGTTTTTTTAAATACTGGGCCGTGCCCAGCCGGCAGGTTAACGATATGATTATTGCCCTGCAGTGTGTAGAAATTTTAAAGTGTCATTAATTGTTATTANATTTAATGTTGTTGTTATGTATCATGCATTGGATCAAGGTGGAGTTCAATTTTTTAGTCTGTGCCACACACGCCAAAGGATAACAATTATTTTCAATGACAAAAATAAAAATATTTTTCTTACCTGTTCAGTTGCTGATTCGGCGGACTCGGTTAGTAAAAAAAAAAATACACGAGTGATTAAAAAAGAAAACGTAACTGAATGTGAACAAACAAACAAACAAATGACGGAGAGATATGATGTTGATGATACAATGGCAGCAGCCTCCCGTGACTACACACTATTTGTATACTGCTAAGAAGCGTGGACGGAATGGCGAGAAAGAAAATGTGTCGGTATGTATCGATTGTCAAAAGTTTTAAGGCTACTCTAATAAAATTTAAACAACCATAAATATTGCTTTGGCTAATAATTAGAGTGATGAATGCGAGCGAGAAAACTAGTGCGCGATTGTAAACTGTGTGTGTCTGCAAAATTTTAACCAAGTGCTCGCGAAAATGTCCATAACAGTGGACCTGAAATATGCGACAACGGCCAGATGATTATTTAAAAAAATAAAAATAACGCTCGATCAAATAAAATTTAAAAAGTTGTAAGCGCTATGATAATGAGATAAAAATGACAAGATGAGCGAATCAATCGAAGCCACAAAGGTGGTAGCGTATATTAATAGTAGTTGAACACGGTTATTGGTAGGTATTTGTTTGGAAAAAAATAGCACTTTTCTTATATCTCAAAAGGGAAAAAATTTTTTCGATCAATTTGATTTTTTTCTAGCGTTAATTTTTTTTTTCCCTATTCCTTTTTTTTTTTACTTGTACAATCGAGGGTAAAATGAAAACACAAATTTAACAAGACTGCAGGTGCAAACTCTTCCATGCGCTACAAACAAAAAAAAAAAAATTCACAAAAAGTAATAAAGCCTAAATATATGCTGCGAGTACACAAAATACAAACACGATTCTTTACATTTAACATGGGGTACACAATTCAAGATAAAAAAAAAATATAATATAT